GGAAGCTGTTTGTAGTTCGGCAGGAAGTCTCAGTGAAGATTGGGAAATGACTGATCTCTTTGGAACATTTGGAACTTTATTGCATCCTTGTGTAACTTAACAGGATCAACTGATCTTTGGGTGATATCTTTGAAGAAACTCAGCTTCCTCTGTGAGGTTCATAAAACATGGGTTAGCACCTCCATAGGTTCCTCTATGATTTTGGGATACCTGTCGCCTGTGTAATTTGGGATGCCATCAAACAGAGCTTGAGCATAAAAATACGAAGAGCACAAGTTCTCCATTTTATCAAATGTCAAAATTCCATTTTGACGTGAATAATTCCTGTCTACTGCAAATTTGACAGTGAGTCTTTGATGCATGTAAGCATATCAGACCAGGCTTAGCTAAAAGCCCAGGGCAGAGAGATTTTATCCCTATTACTAAAAAATGGAGTGAGCATCTGGAAAGCTCATTATACAATCTGAATTTACACTGTTGGGAAATCTGAACATGTCTGCTCAATATTCTTTACCTCGGGTAGGCATGAGATGGACTTGCACTGCTAATCAGTTGGGCTTTTTCTTTTGATTGTTTCTCCATTACAAGAGCTCCTGAGAAGTTCTCCAAAGCAAGAATAAGATTCTGAATAAAGGGGATCCACCCACAGCTCGCTGTGACCCAAGCCAGATCTGTCTGTTGTCAAGTCAAATGTATTATTATTTGAATGCAGTTCATTATGTAATTCATTATGTAATATAACAGATATAACAAAAAGAATACTGGTGTAATTCAAGTCTGGAGAGACAGATGGAGTATTATTCCCTCCAGACAAAATCCATATGGGAACTTTATGTTTCAGAATGGATGAAGATCTGGCTAATGAATGGACAGCAGAGGGCAAAATCTTTTAAAGAAAAAGATTTTTTTCCAGATCCTGTGAAATTGTAAATTAAATGAGTAAACAGAGCCATGAAAGATATCTGCTTCTGTCTTCAGATTATCTGAAAGAATGATTCTATGAAATGTGACTCATCATCCACAATCTTTCAATCTTTTAAGTCAAATAATGTCTTCATTATATAAACTCCTGCACAGATTTCACAAAGTAAGGTCACTTTTTAAATGGACTTGAAACACCTTCAAGAGGTAAACAGAGCTATATAGTTCTACAAATATTCATCCTAAGTACTAATGCTGGTAGGAAAAGTTTCGCTTCTCGTTTCTCATTCAGAGGCCGGTAGGAATTTCTGTTTCAAGTTCTCAAATCCACACCATTTTCTGACTCTATGTTTTTCATAGCAGCCAGTTCAACAAATTAGAGGAAGAAGTTTGAAGATATAGGGGCTTTTAAACCTCTGAAAAAACAGAATATATTCTTTATGTCCGTTATTCTGGGTGGACACTGAAAGATAACATTTTTTCATGCTGTTATATGGTAATTGATGAACAATATCTTTATGACAATTTTTTTCACAAAGGATAATGTCAGCATGTAGGAAGGATAACAAACTATTCCAAGAGAAAAGAACACAGAGGTTGATATAGAAACTCATTCACACACCTCTACTAACCAAGATACCATTAAGAATTAATATTTCTGAGCTGTACTTTAAATTCTCATAAGAGGAGTTTATGGCCATGAAAGGAAAGAATTGAAATATTTCTGAAGTTACTAAAATGGTGTTTGCCTCTGAAAGAAAAAAAAATGTTGGAGGTGTGAGGCCAGCTGCAAAAATGAGTCAAGAAGATGATGACTTGTACTTGTTACTGTCACAAGCAAATTATTAATTATGGTCTATTCCACCATTCTGTGAAATAAATTGGTATTAATTTCATGTTCATTTGTGATGAAGTTCATGCTGACTTCTGTGTGCTCTAACCACTGCTCCTCTGATAGAACTAGGGGAAGTTTTCCTACACAGAAGTACATTGACCAGTAATTAGTTCCCTCATTCTTCTACTATCCACATCTAATGTGTGTCATCTCAGCAAGACATATCCTTATGGAAAGTATCTTGATGTCTGACTCCATTAAAATAACTCATCTTTTGATACTCACCTTTCTCCTCATTGGTGACTGACTCAGGAAAAGATGAAAGCATGAATATTGGGGTCATTTTGTGTTTTTTCCTGTTACCAGTTACAGATGTTACCTACAAGAATGTTAGTTTGAAGAAATGCAGGAGGAGGGAGAAAAAAGCAATCTTGAGTTAGCTGATCTTRTAAAATACCCAAGATTGTATGCTGTGCAGGAATCCCATCTAAAATATCTCATTCTTCAGTAATAAATTCTGTTTCTCAAAAGCTGGAGAAGAAAAATGCAGCAAGGAACATAACAAACTACCTCACCRGTTGTAAAATCCATTTCTTTCTTTTTCTCCTTTAGATGTTGAGTACTATATATGAGATAGTTCTCATGATGGATACAGCCCAGCATAATGGGTTTGTATCGCCAGATGCTTATTCCATGCATTAGATTATGTCTTGGATTATAAATTACCAAAAAATTAAATCTGTAAGGGTAATGCAGGGGGAAGTGGAATATATCTTTCACAGTGCCCTTGAAATACTGGTAGACAAGACAGTCTGGGAAGACAAAACCATTATTTTTGCTGTCAACATTTCTATGCCCTTTAGTAATATGGGACCCACCTTTCTCCTTTAGAAGTCCAGTGTTGTTCCTATAGAGATTACACATGTTCTGGTGTTTTTCTTAGTTCTAATGCATCATTAGACAGCAGACTCCTCATATTTAGATATGTCTCTTCTTGACATGAACAAATCACTCAGTAAAGATGAAGTAGATTAGGCCTGTTACACAACGCAGCGTGTCTCATTAGGAGGGAGTTTAAAATCTTAGATATTAACCAATCATTTTTTCGTGTTGAATTGATTGATTGCAAACTTGATTAAAAGCTACACACTGCTTACTGAGTAGAGAAGCATTATAGCATAGCATGGTTCCACGGAACAGAGATTCTAGGAATGACACATTAATCTGCACAAACCCTAGCACATATGTATGCTTGGCAGTATAAGCCCAAGCTGTTCCATTTAAAGCTTGATTGACTGTGATTTTAACTCATCCTTAGAATCATCACAGAGGCCATGAAATTCCCTTTTTTTGAAAGCTTGGGTATTGCAAATGTGTGTTCTTCTTGAGTTGAAAAGTGCTATTTACTTCAGGTAACCACCTGCAGTGTTTCCATTAGTACAAAGTAGGAGCTGCTAATATTGAACAATTTTTAGTTTAATATGAAATATGCCTTTTATGAACTGTCATGACGGCCACAGAAATTGTGGGGGGAACTCATTTCCTGTGAGAATCAAGAGAGGCTTCGTTATGATCTAGATTCAGGATTGAATTTGAGAATTCTCAAGAAGGAAAGGCAGATGAGAAACACTCAAGAATTATTTATGGGTGAGTAAATTAGTTGTTAGACATAAGTGGACTTTGAGAACAATTTGTGCTGATTCAGAAAGAAAATGTCATCACCCTGAAAGCAGAGGCACTGGCAACTAGTTCCTCTCTGCATAGAACATCATAATTACTGTTTTCACTAAAGATAAACTTTATTCTGATGAGAAAAGATAACTTGGTCTCTTCTGCTCTCTAAGCTAAATAACAGATTTTCTGAAAAGATACTTTTCCTCGGAAAGTCCATTCTTTATTTTCCTGGAATCTGGGGGAGGATATAAACCCATTCTATCACTGAAAGAAGAGGTAGAGACTTTCATATTGTCCAGTCTACACATGGTGAATGTACTGAAATAGGTGCTGTCCATTCTATAGATTCTGGAAGTCAATGACTAGTTAAATTGACTCACTTGGTATCAGTGTCATAATTAAAAGCAATTCTGTTCATCTGTATGTCTCTTGCTGCTTTCTTGAAAGTCTTTCTATATCATGTATATTTGCATTGTAGCCCAGCAGTGTCAGCCAAAAAAAAAAAAAAAAAACCCATGCCCAAATATTTGCCAAGCAGGTTCTGCATAAAATTCATAAAATTCAACTAAAAACTGTTGGTGTTTGCTTAGTAAGCAGTGAAAGTATGTACCTAGGTAAATCAGAAATCTGGAGAGTTTTCCCAAAGCATAGCAGTTGTTCAGTTCAAGGTAAAAATACTTGGTACTGTAAATAACAAATATTTTTTATTCTGATCCTTTCCTGCAAGGGTCTAATGTAATTGTAGAGGATATTTTGATGAGAAAAAACAATGACAATCTGGTCAAGGATCATCTGGTCAAGGATCATCTGGGCATTAATACTGCCATCAAGTTTACCCCTTCTTTGATAAAACAGATTTCAAAATTCCAGGACAAACTCATTCATTTCATGTATTATCATGGCTGCCCTGTCATTGCTTTTTCTAGAATCCAAAGGGAGAGCTTTGTATTGGCAGGTGATAGTATGTCATTTAAACTCATCTCAGTATGTTAGAGCTACTTAAGAATCTTCCTACAGACAGAACCAGGCCCATCGAGAGCTCCTCGGTCATACACAGTGTGTAAGCAACAATAATATCAGKCTGTCAGTTCAGCCAAGCAACAATTTGTATCACAAAATGAGATTTGTTGGCTAGTTTTATTGAGCAGTCTTACATAACTAGATGGTACATGTATACCTGCCAAAGGGATGGATGTCTTAGCTATCCCAAGCTCTTTCAGCAGAATTCCAGTACCTCAACCTCGCAAATCAGACAAGCTAATATTGAAGCAGCTTCACAACAGCACAGGTTCTGTTCAGCACAAGTACAGTGCACATTCTCATAATAATCTTTAAAAATATCTGCTATGGTACTGATGAAGCAACAGTTGTAGTCACTTCTCCAGTCCCACCTGGGACTTCCCTCAGACAGCCTACATTTTCAGACATTTAAGTTTTACTTCTGTTGTATTTTAGTATGCCTTAACGTGTGTGATTTGTTTATTCTTTTTCTGCTAATATAGATGTCATAGAGATTAAAGAAGAGGAAAAACATTTCAGCACCTATGCAACCTTGCTGAAAATATATAGACTCTTCTGAACAATGTGCTACTGAAAGATGAGTCAAGGTCAGAGAGTGAAAMACAGAAGTATCTTTGAACAGAAGATTTAAACTTCTTGGAATCTTGGACCTTACAGCAGTCCATTTATCAAGGTGACTTCCAGGTCATAGACAAATTTTAATTTAGGTCAGAAGCTTAAGGATTTTAGCGAATACCAAGATTAATTACTTTGTCTATAATCCTACACTAAATAAAAAATAAAAAAATAAAATAATCTATTAGCTCTCTGAAGTCCAAGTGGACATACAGGAATATTATCCATGTGTAAATTGGCATTTTCAGTTTTGTTTAGGTAATATAGTCTGCTTGCTTCTACTTGTAGTTACTCATTTAGCAATTAAATAAGTGAAGTCAGATAAGTCAGCAAGTAAATGACATCATTATTGGAAATAAAGTTCAAGAGGGTTATGTTACAAAAAGCACATGAGACCTGCTAAACAATGAGAAGATGACCTGATGAAAAAAACATGTAGACTGGGAAATTAGATTTATGAGAATTGCTAGAGAGATGGAGGTACTAGAGGGAAAATCTATAAACACCAGAAATCTAAGAGCAAATTAACTGTCCTATTAGTGATGCTGTTAATGATGGAAGCTACTCCTACTGGTTACAGCCATATGACAATCTTACTTTATAAAATACATTTTCTGCCTTGGCAGATGGACTGTTAGAAACAAAGGGCAGCTTTGAGTCTTCACAGAGAAATAAGCAGAAGGATTTTATATATATATATATATGCACCACTGTACTCAAATTAGTCAATATTTTTTTCCTTTTTTCTTTTTGAGATAACAAAGAACAAGTGGGACATATTCTGTTGTCTGAACATAAGCACAAACATCAATATTCTTGATTGTCAGATTATTGTTTGATGGATCCCAACTGAACAATATTACTTCTGTTAGGTTTGTTGCTAGCCATTAACTCCATAATTATGAAGTCATAGGTCATCTCTGTCTTATTCCTTAAATAAAATAATTTTCAAAGACAGTATTTTTTTTCTGTCTTTAAACTTGCTAACATGATGAATGAGGTGGGCTAAGAAACATCCTTTTTTTTTTTTTTTTTCTTTAATGTATATTAGTTAGGATATCTAAAACCAAGACATCTTATGCCAAGAAATCTTTTCAGGCTTTGCATTTCCCTGTGTCTCTTTAAGAACTAGAAAAGATCTCACTAAATTTAGCTTGATAGGTGTAGGAGAGAACAAGTATTTCATAAAGGCATTTGTGTACTGTGTCCCTGAGTTTATGAAGGTGAATGGGAAGAGAATTGCCAAAGACAACAGCAACCCAGCAGTCAGTCTGACATCCTAGAACATAAATAATTAGAGAATGCAGTAGAGGTATTTACATTAGCATGTAGTGAGTGTACTTGTAGAATAAAACAGTTGGTGCTGAGGACACTGATCATACTTCATGTTTTGGTTTGCTTTTTTTTTTATTTCCAGCTCTCATGTCTGGGTCCATCGACAGCATTAGAAGTTGGAAGACGGTAGATATATTCCTGGAACAAGTTTTCTAATTTAGCTTCAAACACGCGAACTGAATTCCTTCCAAATGAAACTGCTCCATGCTATCAGCCACAGTACAGTAGTTGGGAAAGATMAGGTTTGCTCCAGAACAATGAGCCATATAAAAATTCTAATCTAGACACAGTCAATGATGCTGACATGACATAGCTTTCTTTCATTGCTTATTTAGCATTTCCTCCTAAAATTAAACCTTAGGTTTTAAATTCTATTTTCCTCTCCGCACATCTTTACGGAAACCCAGGAACTACCACCAACCCCGTGACATTTAGGACAACTTGGCTAACTCATGGCAATAGGATATTGGAAGCTGTAGGATTTGGCTTGTAGTTCTCAGTAAAGAGACAATCAGAGTTCTGAAACCTTCTCACAGCTGTGCTTAGAAGATCTCTACTACATCTAATGGAAGAGCCCCCTCTCAGCTGTACCTGACAGCAATTTTTGGACACAAATATAAGCAACCTCAAAACAATCTGAACACCTGGTTTAGTTGTCTGTGATTTTAATTTGTTTTATGCAAATACATATTTTTTTCTGTATTAAAGTGGCAGTGCAAAGTAAGAATCACAGGACAGGTGCATTCAGAAGCAAAATAGAGAGACAGACCTGAATAGTCAGATCTGTATTTGCTTTGGTATCTTTTTATATTCTGCTATGATGCTTGGGAGTGATGTTTTGTTATAGGGTTAGAGATAGKTTTGATAGAACTCAAAACCAGTCATACTAATTTAATAAAATTTAATCCATTTCTTGGGTGTTCATTTAATTTGTCTTCTGTTTTAGAAGAGCTGTTTGTCTGCTACATAACTATTTTCCACTTTTACATTTAAGTTACAGATTATCTAGAGTATTCTATTACCTTCCAGGTCAGCATCCACTAGTATTTTGAGCTTATACCACTAGATTCCAGATGTAAGATGAAAGATTTCCAGATGTAACCAAAGCTCCATTAGAGGGAACAGAGTATCCCTCTCTACTTTTTTTTTTTTTTTTTTTTTTTTGCACTTTTGGGTAAGTGTGAGGTAAAGATGGGCTACCACTGCCTTACCCACAACGCAGAGAATGACGCCAGCCTATCTGAACATCAAAATCTAATAAACATGGAAGTGTAAGTCTGTTATTATTCAAAGGGAACTATGAACAATTGAGTCCCTACACATCTGCCCCCCAAAAAAGCAAGCTACGGGATGGAAAGGTAGCCTGGAGGGAAGAATACAGTATAGTATTTTGTTTTCTGAACATTTTGTTAGGTCTCTTTTATGTAGCATATGTTTCTGTATTTAAAAATATGCTTTGTTTTTGTCCGGATTGTAATAAAATCTAGCTTCAATGATTGTTGCCGACGGGGGTCGGCAAGCCTCATTCGCTAGCTGGACTGACCTGGGGTTGTCCTCACCCCAGGGCCCTGGAGCACAGTTATCACTATGGGGGATGCGGCAAAATGGCGTTTATTGCGTAGTTCAGTTTGCCTAAATACTCCATTCGAAATGCGCGAACTCACCTACTGCCCAATCRGGACACTAATTTCAAATTTTCRCCTKTTATGGCATGGGGTTATCAGTAAACTGCATAAATTAATTACACTCCTAACTCCCGTGACATCGCGAGATCTTCTGAGCGCCATGCCCTAAGCTCTATGCCCTATGCTATACTATATCATCTACTTTCGCTAAGCTCTCTAACTTATTAAGCCCTAAAAACACAAAAACGCCTACAAATGATTAATTTTCTTTTGGTCTGTTTAAAGAAATATCTGTATACTAGTCTGAAAACTCAGGGTCAAGCCTCATCCATGGTTATAATGTCAATCTGTGCTAGCAGCAGGTTAATCTCCAGKTTTACACAGTTGAAATCACTCTGAAAGTGAAATGGTTTTCAGTAGAACTGCTTGTATGGAATAAGGAACATCCAAGAATCCTCCATACATACATATGTGCTCACCAAATGTGTTAAGGAAAAATATAACATAATAAATTCATGATTATTTTTAGCATATCCAYGACAGATTGTATTACTATTTACTTTTTTCTCAGGCTACACTCATAGAAAGATGCTGCTAGAAAGCACAGCTGGKCATGTGGACAACAACAGAGACACAACCTGAGGTCAGGAAATGCTGAGAAAAGTGGAGACTAGCACACAGGGAGGCATCACATATATTAGAAAGTATTTTTTTCCTGGAGACCAAAGATRACTTTTGGCAATCCAAGAAACCACAGAAAAGATTCTAGACTTGAGAAAACTTAACTCAAACAAGCATAAAAGAAAGAATTTTCACTATAGAAACATAGTGCATGGAAAAAACCCTATGTTCTGGACTCYATTCTATTCTATTCTATTGTGCCCTCTCCTAAATTTTCTATACTTTAGAAAATTTAGAAAAACTCTTGTTTTTGTTTTAAATACATCACATGTTTTAAATTCATCAAAGAAAGAAAAAGGAGAGTCTAGTCAGTCTTGCATCTGGCAATTTTATGATCCAATGACAGTACTTACTCCATTTTGATCTTACTGACTCATTATAACTGACAGGCTTTATTTTGCTGTAAAATTCTGGAAACACACAGAGATGCAGGATAAATCAAACTCAGAATACAAATAGCTAAAATAACACTCCATTTCATAGACAATTCTATTCAATTACTCTTCTTTCTAGAGGAAAAAAAAAAAAAAAAGGTGGGGGACTTGTCTTGGGAAACTGATCATCCCTTAGCTCAATGCTCTAATATTTCCTGGTCTGGGTTAAGAAATATTCTGAAATAATATCAACTATCAGATGAAAAAAAGAGCTGAATACTTTCCTCTCATAGCTCTCAGTGATGTTTGATTAGGAAACATTTACAGAATAATGCATTTTAACTGTTTTCTACATGTGAAAAAGACAAGTTTGTATGTCAGTAAGTTCTAAGGATTCCTCCAACATTTGTTGGAGGTCCTAAACTGAACACATGGTCTGAAAATAAAACTTTTTAAAATGCAAATGCAAATTTGACATTAAAAATGTAAATATTGGTAATAAAATTCCAAGGAAAGAAATTATACATGTATTTCAACACAAACAGGATGATTTCTTATTTTATCTGTTTTTTTTTCCCTTTTTCCTATTTTATTTGATAACAGATTGTATGCAGATTGTCATGCAGCACCTCAGCTTTTTGACCATGCTGCAGTATAGTCTTCACCTCCCACAAGTGAAAACACATTTCACTGGCCAAATGCAAACTGAGAATGGGATCTCATCACCAAGTATCTCATCTTTGTGTATGTTTTTTTTCTTTCTCCCTTTTCTCATGTTATATGGCGGTATTTGATATTTTTCCCCATTTCAGTAGAATACTGTCTCTGAAGGAAGGAATAGCTGCATGATCAACAACAGTTAAAGGGTGCTGTGCCCATTGCTCACAACTGAATAAATATGAAGATGGACAGGTTGCATAACTGATACAATATGAGGACAATGTAGCTTTGGAAGCAGAAAAAAAAATAATTTTGTGATAGGAGGATCTGTTTTGCCGTTGTCACAATTGTGCCCATTTGGACACCCACAGCCACTAAAACATAGAAATAAATTTTTGGTCTGCATTTTTAAATTTGTCAGAGGAAGGGCATGTTAAACAAACTATTCAAGTTGTATCTGGACTGGCAAACTCAGATTTCTGCAATAATTCACTTAGGAAAGCTCCTTTATCAATTTCCCTCGGGCACTATAATGTAGTGGCATTTTTCTGGCCTCTTTTCAGAAAAGTTTCTGGGTCAGGACTTCAGAGAAAGGCCACATATGCATTTCTGGATAAACAAGATCTTTCACACTGGATACACCTTTTACAAATAAATAAATAACGGCTCTGCTTTGTTTTCTGTTGATTTTGTTTCTCTCAGATCATATTCTAGCTTTGATAACTGTTTCCCTTTAGTGGCTACTAGTCTGTGTTGCCCTTAGATCACTGAGAAGTGGAACTGCTTCACAGTTAAAGTATTTACTGTACACTTGAATACAGAGAAACTGAATCCTACCCAAGTTCTGTCACCAGTACCACCACCCTGGAGGCTTTTTCACAGTAGCTTTGCTCTATCCAAATAAAATTACTAGTATTAACCTTATCCTTATGAAATGTGATGCACAGGAGCTTACAGTAAAGCTTAACAATTCCCAAACTCTCCTCGATGAAGTAAGAAAGACTGTCTTTATGGTTGATGATTAAATGAAAGACATGCTTTTGGATTCAAAATAGTATAATATTATGCTGATCATTAAAATGAACTGCTGTTTTCCTCTCACTTTTATTACCAAAGTGAAGATAAAAAGCACTTGAAAAATACGGATCTTTTAGGATGAAAGCATATAGGYTGATACTCTGCAAGTGCCAATTTGCAGAAGTAAGTGCTGGGTTCATGTTCATGGCTGTACAAGCTTCCTTATGCATAAGGAATAAGATTTTTTTCATCTAGTTTTATATATCCAAAATCARATGTCCACAAGTAAACTAGTAACTTTCATAGTCAATAGAGAAAAATAAACATTTTGAGAAACAGTCTCAGGGCACTTTTCAGAGAAAAAAAAATCATATTTTCATATATATCATATATAAATATCATATCAAATCTACTATAAAATTATGTATCCAGTTTATCTGGACTAATACATGAAGGGAGACCAGGTTTCATGGGCAATATGTCTATCCCAGTGTGGGGAGATTAATAGGTTAAAATAACAGAAGAACTTCTGCAGAACTGCCAGCTCAGAGAAGGGCTATAAAAGATAGATTAAATTGATCAGGACCTTATCCAGTCAAACTCTGATATATTTAGGGGTGGTGGTTGTACAGACATTTSGGGCAACATATTCTAATGCTTAACACCATCACAGTGAATAAAACTTTCTTCTATGTCCAGTTACAGAATTGCCTTTCTTGCTCCTTATTTCTTATGCCTCAGTCGTAGGACACTGCACCTCTCCTCAATA